CGATCGCCTGTAGACGGGCTCCTTACGAGCAGGAACAATTTAGTGGTTACAATCTGGAGGATTTACAATTAGAAAAAATCCTGGAGTCTCTGTGCATGAGGCGTTTCATGCAGTCCATTATGAATGGATTGAGATATTCCCGGAATAGACTTCATCCTCAGACGCAGCTTCTAAAGAGCGACTAAAACAGCGGTTTTAATGTCAAGACCACACAAAATCAACTCTCAAATGGCCAAAACGCTCCGTATCGATATCAAAAAAACATCCAAGAGCACAGCCAACATCAAGGTAGCCATCAAAATGGTTTTCCTCTTCATTTTTGGCCGAACTATTCCTTTGATGGCGACACATAAGGACAATTCACAGGTTTCACGTACAGAACAACATGGGAATGAGTCAGTGAATGTGTTTATGCCGACTTCTGCAGTTGCTTCAGCATCCGCCACCATCGGCAAAGTGACACGTTCACTTATCAACCATACTGAAATACAGCCAGATGTGAATAACGTTAGTTGAGAGATGCTCCACACTCTCAAAAAAGAAAGATTTTCACACTACTTTGAGCTTTCTGTGCAGGGTTTTGCTGTGTGGCTCTTTGAGGATTGAAAAAAAGATATTAATCTTCATTATAGGTTCGTCAGATCAGTATACTGGTTTCCAGGTCCATTAAAACACTAGGACAGAGATGGTTTCATGACGAGGTTTTCAAACTGGGGTCCATGGAAAATTTGAGAGAAAAACACTGTGAAAAATGCAAAAATAAATGAGTGATAAAAATAAGATTAAACTAAATAAATAAATTGATGAAATAAAACAATTGAAATAATTAATAATTATATAAATAATTATAATATAATAATAATAAAATAAAAATGCTAAAAATATATTTTTAATTAAGTACATTGATTACTAAAAAGACATGAAAATAAAATAATGTATATAATAATAAAATAATTTTTTATATAATATAATCATTTTTAAATAAATAAATTTATTACCATAAAAGAAAAAAATATATATATATATATATAAACAAAACAGAAATTATAATAAAATATGAAAATAAGGAAAAATAAAGGGAGAAAAAATCAATAATAATAATAATTATATATATTTTAAAATAAATGAATACACCTAAGTGTACTATAGTGAGTAGAAACAAGTAATAATGTAGCATAATAGAAACTAAATATTTTCCAAATAATATTTTCCCAATATTTATAATATACATTTTTCAGAGTCTAAATTGGTTCTTTACACATGAAAATATATAGCTGTCTTTTAAATTTTAGGATGGGGGTCTCTTGCATGAGGATGATCATATTTTGGGGTCTGTGGCACCTAAAAGAGTGAGAACAAAAGCTCAAAAAATTGTGTAACCTTTATTTTTAATTAAAGAGTTTATTGAGAAGCTGCACTGATCATTTGCATAATCAATAATACCTAAAAAGATGATAAATAAATACTGAGACATGCAAAACATTATTAAAGTTCAAATGGCAAAATGACAACCGTATGGACAACAAAAAAAGTCAAAAGACATGATGTAATAGTCAATATGAAAAGCTTTTCTCAGCCCATTTTACTGCGGTTTCACATGTGTGTCCAAGTAAAACAGGACAATCAACGAGAAAAAACATGGGCCAGGATTTGATTTAATCAATCAAAAATCGATTGGACGTACTTTTTTGTTTGGAATAATGTGCACTAATGCATAAAAGCTTGTTTCTTGCAACTTTTTATTTCACAATTCTGATTTTTTTTTTTTGTAGAAATTGTGAGATTAAGTCCCAAATTTGTACCCTAAATTCTACACATAAAAGAGTTAATTATGCTCTCATTTTGCCTTAATGTTCAAATCAACATTTTGAAAAAACAAAAACATTTATATATATATATATATATATATATATATATATATATATATATACAGTAGGACAATGAAAACAACATAATTGAATGCTTCTCTAGATGTACAACTGCTTTAGACTACAGGACACAGTGCAAAATCCAATTAAAGTAGTTTATAAATGAGCAAAGATGAGAATTCCATCCGTCCGTATTTTGGACGAGAGTAAACAAAGTTCAAAGATTCACCACAGGAGTGTAAAATATCAAAGGAACTGCGATGCGTTTTGTGGGGCTGACGTGATGGGAGTTTACAGAGCGTCTGACCGCAGTTTAACAGCGACAAAACACTTCTAAATGAGGGGAAATGTATAAATGACAGTGTGAAAGAGCAAAGCACCCTGCAACCCGCTCAGGAATGCCTCTTCACACAAAAGCCATGAAAATGTAAATGCTTGCCCAGTTGTAGCTCGTTATGACTGTATAAATATACGATGGAGAGAGAGAGAGCGAGCGAGAGAGAGAGAGAGAGCGTGAAAAAGAAAGAACAGAGTGATTGTGGCAGGCTCTACAATCTGTTACCAGGATTCACAATGCATTTTCCAAGGAAAGCATCCAAATGATTATTGCTCACTAAGTATTAAACTTATTCTGCAGCGTTTTATTCCTTAAAATCATGTGTGCTGTTGAGGAGAGTGTGCTGATACTTTACTGAGTGATCAGCTGCACCATTTTCTCCTGCCGGACCAGAAAACAGCTGGGAAAAAATTGCACATTCAAGGAGGAACCCGAGGAAGAAAATCTAGAGACTTGTCATGCCAGATAGGAAGAAATCACCTAGCAACCACCAAAAAATAAATAAAACACCCTAGCAACCACATACTGTAGCAATATTCTAACATCCACTAAGAACGCATAGCAACACCCTGTCAACCAACAATACAAAAAAAGTCATTTTTTTATAGAAATAGTGTAGAAAAATAAACTTATTTTCACTTTGAATTAAGATATAATTTTTCTCAGCCCACAGGTAGATATTTTTCTAGTTTTAAGCATAAATTCAATTAATTTTGATTCATTTTTGCAGGAAACAAGACTTAATGTTTATTTAGCAATGTCTCTTGATTTAAGACTGTTTAGATATTTGTGCCGGAAAACAAGACAAAAATCCTGAGTAATATTTGCCTATTATTTTTTAAAATGGTAAGAAATAAATCTGGCTATTTTTATATATTTTTAATTGATTTTTTTTTTTAGAAATATGTCACTTTAACCTTCTGATCATCTAATAAGTCAAATTAGAGATGGTTAAACTCATGGGTGATTTAACCTTAGGTTCATTCATCACACTGCGAACAGAAGGTCAAGTCGAGCACATTGCACTGTGAGATAAAGCACTCTTTGCTAGCCTGTGCATGCACAGAATTCACATTATGCATACTATATATACTACATACTGCAGAAATAGTTAGTATGCGGTTCCAAACATAATGTTAGTGCAGTAAGTAAGCTGATAGCATCGTTTTTACCTGGTGTGTATGTGTACGGTCAATGTGTAATCAAGAGGTGAATCCAGTTCCACTTAATCAGCGCTATATTAATCACACCAACACAAACATGCTTTCGCAAGCCTTTGAGGGTCAAGTGTGTGCACGTACAGCGTGGTGTGTGTAACCACAGCACAAAGACTGCCTTCTTTCATAACACCGCACTTGCCCGCTTCTGAAAAGAGTTCAGAGCTTTTGTCACAGTAAACGGCTGGATCCCGTGTAATCAAAGCAGCATTTATACGCTTATCTTCACTGTTTCTAGCTGTGTTCGTGCAGAACTGAAGCCACAGAACGCTCTTGCATCATTGCTACAGGCTTCCCAAAACACCTGAACAACAACCGCACAGACATCAATTAAATAAAACACTCTTCTCATCACACAGTTGACATTTAGCTTACCGTATTCACCCCAAGATCAAAGCAAAGAAAGAAAATAAAGACCATTATGATTTTTTTTTTTGCAGTTCACCGCAATTAAGCACATTTTCCTTAATTTAATTGCTTAATTTGCTTAAAACTGGAATCTATTTCATAATTATTTAAGATTTGTCTTTTCCTACGCATTACTGTAATGAAAAAAAGGATACATTATTAAAATTGTTAGTTATTTGTTCTATAGATGCAGTTCACCGCAATTAAGCACATTTTCCTTAATTTAATTGCTTAATTTGCTTAAAACTGGAATCTATTTCATAATTATTTAAGATTTGTCTTTTCCTACGCATTACTGTAATGATAAAAAGGATACATTATTAAAATTGTTAGTTATTTGTTCTATAGATTGTTTTGTTCTATTGATATTTAATTTATACTGATTAAAAAGTCATTGTATTAAAAGTTTTACTAAAATAAAAAATATTATTATTAAAATATGATTTAAATGTGTAAATAAAAATAAAAATATAAAATAATACATACACATTTTTAAATAAATAAAATTTGTAATTTAGTAATACAATGTATTTATTGGTCAGTATAAAATAAGTCAGTAGAACTATAAAATAACAATAAAATTAACACTAAAATTAACTAACAATGAGAAATTCATTTGTTACAGTATTTAGTAATCTTTGTTAACATTAGTTAATAAAAATACAACTATTTATTGTTAGTTCATGTCAGCTCTGCAACTTTTAATTTATGCAAAGTAATTGTAAATGTTGAAATTAACCAAAATATTATTATATTGCAAAAAACATTATACATAATTTTAATAGTATTATTAATAGTATTAGTAGTATTGCAGATAACCATTTAGTTTTATGTGAATTAAAAAAAGTATTATAGGTATTAAAATACAAAAGAGAAAACATCTGGATATAATAATGAGAGTTTGAAATTTAAAACAATGTAAAAATGCAAAAGGTCTCAATGGTCCAAAATATAGGCTAATATTTATTATTTCTCCTCTTGATTTTAGATGAATTACCCAGACATATTGACAGATTCACAAAACTGCCGTTGAGATGAATGGCGATGCTTAGGGATGTCCGCAAGTGTTTCGATCGAGAACCCAGTGGTAATATTGTCTGAATACAGATCTTGTTCCACACCACCCCGAAAACAAACCAAGCAGGCCAAAGACCCGTGACAAGCACTGACCTACTCGCAGCTCCTGTCCGAAGACGGTGCGTTCACCCAGCGCGGAGCAGTTCCAGCGGCCGTATCTGAACTGGTACTGGCATTCGTTGATGCCCAGCTGTGCCCCCTCTCCGATCACGATGATGGCGTCCGGCCGGCTCTGGCAGATGGCGCGCTGGCGGGGTGCGAGACCGGGGATCTTATTGCAGATGATGTTCGCACCAAGGGCCACCACAGAGGAAAGAGCCCTGTGGGACAGAAGAGACACAAACACAACTAGTGAAGACTGGGGATAAACATAAACATGAGATACTTGCATCACAGAGTACGGCGGATGGTTTATGACCGTAAACACACGCCAGAATTAAGCACTTAAGTGTTGTTTGTACTGCCATTACTTTTAACAATAACACCTTCTCTATAATATCTCATAAGCACTAACTGAAATGGGTGAACCTTTCCACCTCTCAAATTAAAACTTGCACATTTCCCAATGCATTTTATTGCTTGACAAATGTGATTCATCCACGGTAGTGCAAAATGTAGGAGGAAGAAGAGATATGAAAGATCTGACCAATACAGAGGATATAATATATTAGAATAGAACAGAACAACAGAATAGAACAGAACGAGAATGAATAAAGTAGACTTGAAAAACATAAATGAACAGTAATGCATGAAAAGAATACAACTGAATAGACCAGAACAGCATAACTGAACATGACAGAGAATAAAAGTGAGTAGAATGTAACTCAACAGAACAGAATGGAATTGAACAGAATGAATAGAATAGAAAATAAGATCGAATATTAGAATGGAATAATCCAAGACATAATGGAGAGCAGAATATAACAAAAACAAAGAGTAGAAAATAAAATATAAACATAACTGAATGCAAATAATAGAATAGAAATAGAATAGAAATTAATAAACCAAAACAGCATAACTCAACATGATACAGATAAAGGTGAGTAGAATATAAATGAACAAAACAGAACAGAATTTAACACAAGTAAATATCCCAACACATATCTGTAATAAAAATAGAATACAATAGAATATACCAAGACATAAATGTAGAGCAGAAAAAGGCAAAAACAAATAGAATAGAAAAGAAAAGATCAGAACCGCACACCTAAACATGTCATAGAATAAAAAGTGAGCGGAATAGAACTGAACAAAACAGAATAGAATTGAACATAAGTGAATATAAATGGAATATAAATCAAAAGAATAGAATAGACCAGGACATACTGTAACTACAGAGCAGAACAGGGTAAAAACCAATAGAGTAGAAAAAAAACCTAACTGAACAAACATTAATAAAATGGAATAGAATTGGATAGACCATAACATCATAACTGAGCATGGCATAATGGAACAAAACAGAATATAAACTGAACAACACAGAATAGAAATGAACAGAAGTGAATACTAGGCCAACCCATAACTGTAATATGGAATAGAATAGAATACAATAAGTCAGTAATACAATAATAGAGCAGAAGAAACAAAAAACAGAATAGGAAAACATAGCTGAATGTAAATGAATAACATAGAATTGAATTAAATAGACCAAAACAGCATAAACCTAACTGAACAAACATTAATAAAATGGAATAGAATTGGATAGACCATAACATCATAACTGAACATGGCATAATGGAACAAAACAGAATATAAACTGAACAACACAGAATAGAAATGAACAGAAGTGAATACTAGGCCAACCCATAACTGTAATATGGAATAGAATAGAATAGAATACAATAAGTCAGTAATACAATAATAGAGCAGAAGAAACAAAAAACAGAATAGGAAAACATAGCTGAATGTAAATGAATAACATAGAATTGAATTAAATAGACCAAAACAGCATAAATGAAAATGACATATAGAATAAAAGTGAGTAAAATAAATGAACAAAACCGAATAGAACAGGCCAACAAAATATTAATATAGAATAAAATCAACAGGATAGGATATAATAGACCGAGATATCAATTTATAGCAGAACAAAACAAAAACAAATATAAAAAGAAAAGCATAACTGAACGTAAATTATTACAATAGTATAGAACTGAGCAGACCATAAAAGCATAACTAAAAAAGACATAGAATAAAAGTGACCAGATTATAATTGAACAAAATAGAATAGAATTTAACAAAAGTGAATAGGCCAACACATAGCTGTAATATAGAATAATACAAGACATAACTGTAGAGCAGAATAGGATGAAAACAAATAGAATAGAAAAGAAAAACAGTGAATAAGTAAAGATAGAATAAAACCTGAACATCATAACTGAACATGAATTAAAAGAACAAAACTGAACAGAATAGAATTGAACAGGCCAAACTGTAAAACAGAAAAAAATACAACCACCACTGAACATGATATAGCAGAATAGAACATAATAGAATAAAGTAAAATAGGACATCACCAATGAACATGACTGAACGGAATAAAACAGAACAGAATAGAAAACAAGAGTGCAATATACACAACAGAACAGAACAATGTGTTACTGGTTAAAAAAGATCATATTTTTCATGCCCCTTTTTTCGATTCAACTCATATTTTCATGCAACTGTGACCACACAAAGTGGGTCATGTTCCAAATGCACACATCTCTGTCATCATATGGCTTCTCGTGTTGATACAGCCCTCGAGAGCGCTCTTAATATGCGCGCTGAGTATTTTCGGTGCTCTGTGTTTGCACAAACCCGCGCGGCTAAACAAGCGGGCTTCTATGTTTACGAGCATTGAACCCGTTCAGATATGTGCCTTTCAAACATGTCAGAGATGAGGGCTGTAAAGACGCATGCCAACTTTGAAGAGTGACTTCACCGGCTGCCGAGGACTGCACCGCAAGCGGGGCGAGTTGCAACAAGCAATGCGTGTGTCAGCAAAAAACGGCATGCAGGGGTGGACGGGACGGTGTCGCTGCTGGGAGAATAGCTGCAACTTATGTATTCCCCGTCAAAATAGATCAAACGGCACGGAACAAAGACGCGGAATGTTCATTGGAAATCGGATATGGCTGGTTTGCCTCTTTTCTGGTTGTGTTTCCATGTCCACAAAGGCTTAAGAATTACTCTTAAATACAAAACCACATGTGGGATGCAGTCGGGGGACCCCTCTCTCGCTCTGTGTTTAAGAAACATCTCCTGTTTCTGCATATAATGGAGTCACGAGGGGCGAGTAGCTAAAAGTGTATGTTTATGTAAACCCTTCAGCGAACACAAACTAACACTCGACCACACGTTAATATAGCGGCGCAATGAAGCGTCTCCAAAGCCATCCAAACCAGTGTGTTTGGGCATTAGGTGAGCCGCTATGAGGACTACGAGGTTTGCTGCCAAATCCATAAATCTGTTCTAAACCTAGTGCGCTGCCTATCTAGAGAGCATCATAGGCACCTTCAAAAAGTAATATGGCCTGATTCTAAAAACAGCATCCCATGTATCCTTGGTAATCCGAGAATACAATGCAAAGTGAGATAAATATTGATTGCAAATATGCTTATTTATAGAAATGCATTTAAAGGATGCATTAAATGGATCAAAGGTGACAGTAAAGACATTTATAATGTTACAAAAGATTTCTCAAGAAAAAGCTTTTGAACTTTCTATTCATCAAAGAATCCTGGAAAAATGTTTATATCATGGTTCCACAAAAATATGAAGCAGCACAACTGTTTTCAACATTGATCAGAAGTGTTTTTTAAGCAGCAAATCAGCAAAAGATCATGTGACACTGAAGACTGGAGTAATGATGCTGAAAATACAGATTTGATCAAAGAAATTGATACATTTTAACAGATATCACAATTGAAAACAGTTATTTTGATTTGCAATTATATTTTACTATTTTTCTGTATTTTTGATCAAATAAATCCAGCTTTGGTGAGCAGAAGAAACTTCTATCAAAAACCTTTAAAAAAAATTATATATATGATCTCAATCTTTTGTTATTAAATATCAAAATGTATCAATAAAAAGGGTTCAACCACATAACAAGCTACAAAACATCATAGCAACTGCATAGCAAGACCCTGACAACCACATAACAAGCTACAAAACATCATAACAACTGCATAGCAACACCCTGACAACCCCATAACAAGCTACAAAACATCATAGCAACTGCATAGCAACACCCTGACAACCACATAACAAGCTACAAAACATCATAGCAACTGCATAGCAACACCGGCAACCACACAACAAGTTACAAAACATTCAAAAACAACTAACTAACTGCAGAGCAACACCCTGCTACAAAACATTCAAAACACTTGTTTCACTTCCGTCTCAGTTTTTTTTATAACCATTTCTTACTGTGTGTCAGTAAGCTGTTGTTATTTTAGTGTGTGTGTTTGGCTCAGTGTTATTTTTTTTAGGATTTCTGATAAACTAATGTAGTTTGATTTGTATTAGCTATCTATTTTAGTTTTAGTTACAGTTGTAGTAATGTTGTCCTTTTATTAAGTTTTATTTTGATTTAATTTGAGTTATTTCAGTACTTCAACATACAAAATGGAAATGAAATAATGTTGTTGTATGCATTTGTCATTTTTATTTAATTTCTTTTATTTTCTTAAATGTGTGTGTATATATAGTATTTATAGAGTTTTAGCTTTTAGTTTTAATTACTTTTTCTTATTTGTAAGTCGCTTTGGATAAAAGCGTCTGCTAAACGACTAAAAGTAAAAGTAAAGTAAATAAATAAATGAATTAATATATAGATATAAAAATATATAATGTATACGCATATATTATGTGTGTGTGTGTGTGTGTGTGTGTGATTCTACAGTGTTTTTCAAAACTAATCATATGATATAGTCATCACATAGATTCATCTGCAAATGTTTTTTTCCCATAGCTACATAAATCAGATTGTGGGCAACAGAACACGCTGCTCTAGAAACAAATGAAACACTCCACCCTCTTTTCTTTAATTTATTTGGCTTTCATTTAAAACCTCTTATTATGGCTGTCCTGCTCATCCACAGTTATAAAGTCCCGACTGACGTTGTTTCTGGTTAAACAAGTGATGTCTTCGGTTAAACAAGTCGAATATAGACTGGATCCTTCAGAGCAGGTTATCGTGATGTAAAACTCAAAACAGTGAGCCTCGCAAATATGAACGTCTTCAAGAGTGGTTTTCACTTAAATCTTATGTTTCTCAGATATTTCGCAGAAAAGATCAGAGAGAAAAAAATATGAACATTTCTCATCAAAC